GCCGGGTTTGATATGGTGTGTCCCCCCCCTCCCTTCAAACATGTGCTCCCAAGTCGGAGCCGCTTTTTCGCCCTGCTGAGTCCGACGTCGAGCGAACACGTCCAGCCTTCAGGGTCGGAGACAGGTCACCGCTTCAGGCAGGGGTGCGCAGCAAGGCGCCCTTTCCCTCCCGCCCGCCAGCCCCCCTCGCCGCAGTCCTGCCGACACCCTCAGGGGCCAGGCCACCCAGCCTCCAGGGGTGGGCACGACTCGCGGCCCTCCTGCTTTGGCCGAGCCGCGGCCCCCACCGACGCCCCTCGAGCCCGGGGAAGGGAACGGGGGTCCGCCGGTGTCTTCAGCAGGGCCCCACATTTCGTACCCTTGGCCTAGGTTGCCGTTCCCCAAAACGCTGGCCGCAAGACGACCCAGAACTGCCCTTAGGCCACCCAGCCTCCAGGGGTGGGCACGACTCGCGGCCCTCCTGCTTTGGCCGAGCCGCGGCCCCCACCGACGCCCCTCGAGCCCGGGGAAGGGAACGGGGGTCCGCCGGTGTCTTCAGCAGGGCCCCACATTTCGTACCCTTGGCCTAGGTTGCCGTTCCCCAAAACGCTGGCCGCAAGACGACCCAGAACTGCCCTTACATTTGCAGCAGGAAGAGAAGCTACTGGGGGGTGGGGGTGGTATCCAGGTGTTGCCCCCCCTTTGGAGGCCGGGATCAAGAAAGTTTGGGAAGGCAGCGCAGAATCCAGATGCGAGAGGGTTAACTTGTCCACAAAGTCCAAAATCCACCCTTTGGTAAGCCCAAAGTTTTCCTGGGCCAACCAAAAAGAATTTTTTTAAAAAAAAAGGGGGGGTCTTCAAAACCGCTTCACCAGGTGTGTGGCCCCCCATCTTCTCCCAATGGTGGTGGAGTGGGAAGAAACTGCAGGTGTCCAAGTCTCTCTCTCTCTCAGGTGACCTATTGCTGGTACTGCACTGCAGGAGGAAGTAGCCGTTCTTTTAGAGGAAAACAAGCAAGGAAAGCTTTGGTCCTCCATTGATGCAAACATAAAGTCCCACTGCAACAAATATTCAAATATAATAATTCCACGTGTTTAAAAAAATAGGAGAATTCAGCTTGGATTTCGTATCAGAAATCGAAACCTAGAGCACAGTGGCCACAGTGGATCTTCACGTTATCTCTTTCTCTTGTAAGATATGTGCAAGTCTCAAAGTGGCAGTAAGTAACCCTCCTTCCCCCCCCCAAAAAAAAACTTCCCTCCAGGATGACTTTAGTAAGATAAAGATGGTAGTGAGTCCGAGGAATTCCCCACTGAACCTAAGGGGGGTCTTGGTCGGGCACTTCAGTATGGTCCACTACCAGCCAGGACATTTTTTAAAATACTGTACATAAAAGCAGGAGCAAGAATGGAACAATTTAAAGACTCGGTAAATAACAAAGCACCTTACAGTTGAAATAGAATAGAAAGAGTAGGCCAGCTTACATTGATCTAATTAGGGATTTTCATATCTTTGATTGAGTGATTTAAAGTATTTTTACCCCACTTTTCCCCTTAAAAAGGACCCAAGGTAGCTTAAATCAATTAAAGTACAATATTTAAAGCTTAAACAATAAGTGTAGGCATTGTTCAGTCTCGAGAGACTATGGTAACGTGCTCTGTATGGAGGACTTGGAACAGCGTCTAGTGTGGCTGAGGAGGCCAATTCGAGAGTGACAATCCCTTCCACACTGAAGACAAATCCAATCTGTCCCCTGTAAGTACTGTATAGAAATACTAAAAAGGATCAAGAACCACACTAAAATAAACAAAATAAACACAAATACACATTCAAAGCAATAAGGTACAACAGACTATTAAAAAACCCCACTCAGGCAGCCAATCACTGAGGGAAAGTTTGCCTGAAGAGAAAGATCTTTGCCTGCTTGAGGAAGGACAGCAAAGATGGGGCCAGGCTGGCCTCCAATGGGAGGGAGCTCTAAAGTCAGGGAGCAGCAACAGAGAAGGCCCTCCCTTGTGTCCCCACCAGGCACACTTCTGAAAGTGGAGGGACTGAGAGAAAGGCCTCTCCTGATGATCTAAATACCCAAGCAGGCTCATAAAGAGAGATGTAGTCCTTGACATACCTTGGGCCCAAATGGTTTGGGGCTTTATAACAGGGGTCCCCAACCCCCAGGGCCACAGACTGGTCTTGGTCTGTGGCCTTGGCAGGACCAGGCCACAGAGACAGATCTCCTGCCCCCTGCATGCACAGACGCACGCACACACCTCCATGCACGCACGCACGCCTGCCCCCTGCATGCACAGACGCACGCACGCACACACACCCATGCACGCACGCACACACCACACATGGGCGCAACCCCCCTCTCATGCATGCACAGATGTACCCCTACATGCAAACACACAGAGAGAGACACACAGCCCCCTGCATGCACACTAAACTGGTTCATGGTGTCAAAAAGGTTGGAGACCACTGCTTTATAGATTAGAACAAACACTTTGAATTATGTCTGGAAACAGATTGGCAGCTAGTGGAGCTGTCGTAACAGCGGGGTTATGAGATCCCTGTGACCAGACCGAGTTAGCAATCTGGCTGCTGCATTTTGGACCCACTGAAGTTTCCAGACAATTTCCAGAAGCAGCCCCAGGTAGAACATGTTAGAGCAATTCAGCTGGGATGTAGCTAAGGCATGTGTCACTGTGGCCTGATCAGACCTCACCAGACACAGGTGCAGCTGGTGCACTAATTTTAATTTTGCAAAGGGACTCTTGGCCACTATCAAAACCTGGAGATCCAGGCTCAGAGAGGAATGCAGGAGCAGCCCCAAGCTGGCACACCTGTCTTTTCAGAGGGAATGTAAACCCATCCAGCAGAACTGTGACACAGTATTGATAGTCCGCCCCACTCCCTTTTGCTAGTTTACAGACTTGTGCAGTGGTCTAGTGCGTACACAGTGCTATACCCATTACCTGGTCTTTCTTCACCTTCATCTGCATGTTGACTAAACAGTTCTAAAAGCTGAAAGTGAAGCCTTTACTGGAGTGCATGGGCCTAATCAGCGGGCAAACAAGTAGCTCTAGATTCCCTATTCCTGCACTTCACGTTAGCAAAAAACAGGGAAGCCTGGATTTGAGTTACAGTAAATCAAGCATTGCTGGTCTCCTGGGGATCAGGAGACAGCCTTCTGGCAGCCACATGCTAGTGGTGGGTGGGATCAGGATTGTAATCCCTATCTTTGACCCATACCTGCTTGGCATGACCACCACTCACTTTTTCAATGACTCCCTAAGGCTACCTTCCCTTGTTATATCTTAACAATAATGGCAACACCATTACTTATTGCTGCCTTTTAAAATTCCAGTCAGTACAAAGGATGTTGAGAAAAACTGCTTACAGCACTCTGCAGTTCCAGATATGATGCAATGCCTTTAAATGGTTGGTTTCCAAACTGAGGGAAAGAAAAATATTCCAGGGAATATGCAAGACTGATTATTGCATCTGCTATTTCTTAGAAGTTACATTTTTATTATGTTTTGTGACAAAAAAACCCCAATTTGTACCTAGTTTTAATTTAAACTAATTTTTCACTAAGCTTTTGTTTCATTTTTAATTTTGCACTGAATTTTCTGCATAAGGCTTTCTTTAAAAAAGGGTGTAAGACGTTGAAAAATCTAAAAATTACTGGTGTTCACTGTTGAAAAAAACACAAAGCAAAGCAAAACTGCATGAAAGATGGGAGTGTTCAGTTACTAATAGTGTAAGTTAACAGCAATTGTTTAAGAAACACTGATTCACCTTCAGTCTGAATGTCATATAACTAAAGATTCTCAAAAAGTGGAGTTACAGGACTGAAATGCATATACGGCAGATTTTTTTCCTAAAATAAGGACACTTTTAGGCACATATAAGAATTTAATTTCTTTAAATCACAAATCAAATTTCTTTTAATTCCCGTATGTGTGTTCTGTGCTGCCAAATTGGAGTCAACTTATAGTGGTCCTGTTATGGGTTCCAAAATATGTGAGAAATTTAAGAATGGTTTTACCAGATACAATCCCTCACTGAGTTCCTATGGCCAGGCAGGAATTTGAACCTGTGTCTCCTTATTCCTTGTCCATCCATCACTCTATCCACTATGTTTCACTGGGTATTTTAAAGTATTTCTAACATTGTTTTATTGTGTATTATGTATTTTTACAAAAGACTGAAAGTTCTGCTTTGCACTCATTCTGCCCCCAGTGAAAGTTGACCTAACATGAATTTATATGAGCAGTATTTTATTTTAAACACAATCATTCATCCTTCTAAGAATAAATGAATGAATGAATGTTGCGATTTAGTCATTAAGTCATGTCTGACTCTTCGTGACCCCATGGACCAGAGCATGCTAGGCCCTCCTGTCTTCCACTGCCTCTCAGAGTTGGGTCAAATTCATGTTGGTAGCTTCAATGACACTGTCCAACCATCTCATCCTCTGTCGTCCCCTTCTCCTCTTGCCTTCACTCTTTCCCAACATCAGGGGCTTTTCCAGGGTCTCTTCTCATGAGATGGCCAAAGTATTGGAGCCTCGGCTTCAG